TATTTATTATATTAGATATAACAACATAATTAAAATATAATTAATAATATATATTTTATAAAATTATTAATATTGTATATATATAAAATAAAAAAATAAAAAAAATTTAGTGGGGGCAAGTGCCCTCACTATGATTAACTTAGATCTGTCCCCGCATATGGTTGTGTGGTGAAATGTTAGTCTTGTGTATCCTCTTCCTTTACTTCAGGTTCTACCTCTTCAAGAACAGGTTGTTGTTGGGGTACATTGTTAATGACTTCAAGGAAAAATACTATGTCATTTCATCCTTTACTGGTTTCAATTAGGTCCCTAATAAATTAATTCAATTAGGTCCCTAATAAATTAATTGGTTTCAATGTGGGACTTCCGTCCAAATTTCTTTAACGGTGTTAACTGTTGGCCACGTGGATGCCACATAGATGACACGTGGATGCCAATTTTTTTGAAAATACCTGGAACCAGAACGGCCTGTTCTGAAACCAGAATGGGTCGTTCTGTTTGCACTTTTAGTGTGTTAATTTTGCAACTGGAACGGGCCGTTCCGGATGCAAAATTAACACATCAAAAGTTCAACCAGAACGGCCCGTTCTGGTTTCAGAACGGACCGTTCTGGTTCCCATTGTTTTCAAAAAAAATTGTCATCCACGTGGCATCCACCTATGCATCTACATGGCATCCACGTGGCGAACAGTTAACTCCATTTAAATAATTTGGACGGAAGTCCCACATTGAAACCAATTAATTTATTAGGGACCAAATTGAAACAAAAAAATAAAAGTGGGACTAAATTGAAACAAATAATTATTATAAGGGACCAAAATATATTTTTAGCCTATTTATTTTAATGCGGAGCAATTTAGTGACTAAATAAATCACTCTTTAAAATAAATAAAAAAAATATTAAATAAAAATATAAATAACATGACACTAATTATAACTTTATTAGTTTAAAAATTAAGGTTCTGTTTCAAAATATTTCAATTTTTTAATTATCATGGTAATTCTCTAAGAAATTCTACAAGATTAAATTGCAACGTGGCAAGGAATTTGATTCATGACTAGTTACTGAGGTGCTGACTGATCTTTTTTTAACCCTGCGATTTCTAAAAGTTAATCACTTATTCACCTTGTTTTTCAACCAATAAGATACTAAGATTACGTAGATTTTTTTTTATTTTTATTTTTATGAAAAACAAAAGTTTAAGAAAAATGAGATAGTACCTCACTTAAATTCAATAATGTACTTATATTTACTTTATCCCTATGACACAAGTGAGACGAAAAAGAATATCAATCTATATTTTGTCTTACTTCATTAAATTACAGATTCTTTGATTGGGTAGTGTTTTAAATATCATACAGTAGTGACAGTACAAATTTAATTTTATAAATACAAACTCGTACAACGTCAAACTTTTCAATGCGCAAAACACTCAACTTTTCTTTTTCAAACTTGGGATTGTTAATCCTTCATAGAAGAAAACTCACAGCTTATAATGATTGAAAATACAAATACATCACTAACTTTGTTTTGATGTCACTTAATTTCACTAATATTTCTCAAGCACACGTGAGCCTACGGCATTCAAATATTATTATTTTTTCAATTATTTTTTATATTTTTTGACACCGTAAAGACGCATGAAAATAACAATGATTTTTTTTTTGAGTAATGAAAATAACAATGCTAAGGTGGAAGAAATTGATTTATTTATTTAAAGTGAAATAATCATAATAACGTAAGCATGCATGATACAATGGCGGCTAACAATGATTTAATGCATTAACTACAAACAACAACATAAATTATTAAAAAATATAAAGTGGCGCAAAACATGTTTGTAAGAACAATTTGAAACTGATGTGATCTGAGTTTGCCGTAATGATGTGTTCTTCTAAGGCTTTTCATTGATAGTATATAAAATGAGTTAATCGTCTCTACCGTTATTAGCGTAAAGTTTTTTAAATCAAAATTTTTAAATTTTTTTTTATTTTATTAATGACATTATTAAAAGATATGATTGATTGTTAATGTAAAAATTTTACACTAGCAATATATAGATGATTAACTTATATAAAATTATCTCGGCTTTATATATATATATACACTTTTTTCCTGTTTTAATTACATGAAATATAATTTATTTTAAATGTATTAATTATTGAGTTTTTTTTAATATTTTAAATTTATCGTAAAATTTATTAATAGGAACTTTTTATATATATATATAAAACATTCATTTGTTTCTTACTAAAGTGGATGTTTTTTAGTTATTTACTGAAACTATTAATTCAAAAAATATTTCTTAAATTACACGTATTATCATTAAATGTAAATAACAATTCTATCATTTAATTTTGTGGACATTCTTAAAATTAAATTTAAATTTATGATATTATTAGTTAAAATTAATTAATATAACTAATTTTTATATTTTAATTAGTGTATAAAACAACTAAATTAAAACTTATAATCTTGTACGTATTAATTCAATTGCTTTCTTTTATTGATATAATTAAATATTTTTTTTCATAAATAAAACAAGAGGTAATATTATTCTATATAATTATTAGCACTTAGAATTATTTAAACATATATTGTAACATAAGTTTTCGTATAAAACTTATATTTGAGATTAATTTAAATATGCATCTCAATTATCTTTATAGTGTGTTTGGATGGGGAATTTAAATGGAGTAATTCATTTGATGAATTTCAAATTTTTTAAGGTGAAATACCTTGTTTGGATGGAGAATTTACAAGGAATTTGAAATTCAAGTATTTGTGAAATTTTTTAAAATAGTAGAATTTCAAATTCTTCCAAAAAAAAGTAAGAATTTGAAATTCCTAATATTTTTTTCTTCTTATTTCACTTATATATTTTATCTTATCTCTTATCTTTTCATATTTTTAATTATTGAATATTTAAAAATATTCTTTAAAATTATTAAATATTATCTAATATTAATTTTTTAAATTATTAAATATTTAAAAATTAGCTAATATTTATTTTTATAAAATTTAATTTAAAAATCTCAACATATAAATATATTTTTTAAAACAATTTTACCATGGTGGAATCAAATTATCATATCCAACCCAATAATTTAAAATTTGAAAATTTTGAATTGACTTATTCAAACAAAATATTTTAAGAATGATAGAAATTGAAATAAAAGCAATTCAAATACCAAGAATTTAAAATTCTTTGAATTTGTAAAATTCCTTATCCAAACATATCATTAAGTTCTTTTATTTTATAACATAATCCTGCATAGATAACACAACTAGTTAAGTTCTTGTGTTATAATCTTACTCTTTTTTTTTCCCGAAAAGGCTGATAGTTGTTTCTAACTTTACATTATAAGAGATTGTACTCTATCCTACATGTTATTTATATTAACTTTATTTTTCTATCAGTTACTTTTTGGGGAAAATGTCTTTATCAATGTGGTAATTCAAAACTTACTAATTGTATTTATTAATTATATCATTATAAAAAAAATAATAGTGTAAAAAATATCAAAACAATAAACGACAAAGATAATAAAATATAAATTATTTCAATGTAAAGGAATGGATTAATTACTCTTCTAAATTTAAATATTATAATATCAAATAATAATAATAAAAATATATACGAATAGAGCAATAATCAATTATAATTTAATTTTTGTAGAAAAACTAGTGTTTGTTTATATGTTTTTGTTTGTTCTGCTCATCATTTTGATATCTATACTCCTATTTAATGTCAGTTCGCAGTTCAGTCTTAATTAGTCACATTATTTTGTATTCTTAATTTGTTTTTTAAAATAACAATGCTATTATTTGTTTTCATGCCTCTTGCCACGAGACCACTCCACAAATGTTCTTTTTTGAGAAACAATTGTTAGACTTTGAGTTAGACATAAACCTACCACGAGGAACAACCTATTTTTCCGTATATTTCTATTGATCAACATAAATGCATCTTATACATATGAAAATACAATAAAAGGTACATTTCTAGAAGGTTAATAAATTAAGATTTTGAAAGAGTGAAAATAAAATAAGAGTATAAATGAGAATAGTTACATTATAATTTTTTTTTGTGGTGGGGCATAGACACTACTATCGTATCCAGGCAATTGAGTTGATTAGGAGTGAATGTGTGGATATATTTACAATAACAATAGGTCAATAGCAGCACATCATTTCCATCATTTTGCAATTTGCCACGTTCGATGGACATGAGATTCCAAAAATAAAATAAAATTCACAAGAGTCAACATTATAATACAAAAACATCATTAATCAACGGTTAGACTTCGAACTAAAATAATGTACGTATATTTTTTTTATTGCAATTTTAAAGTAAAAGAACCCCAATTCGTTCAGAGATTGGTAAATAGACAATTTTGATTATGCACGGCACAATTCCGTTGAAATAGGTAGTCTTTAATCTTTGAAACTAAAAATATCAAATAGATTTTTGAATGTATAAATAGAGAGTATAAAATATATAAAAAAAATACAATTTATGTGATGATATTAAAATATTAATATATTTTTTAAAACTAAAATAATAGTAATTAATTAAATTAAGAGACTTGTTTCATTTGATAATTTCTTAATTTCAAAAACTAACACAACAATGTTTTTTCAAATTCAGGAATAAAAATGATTTTTCACTCCATTTTGTATTTATTCGTGCTTGATCATAGATTCATATTTGTTATTCTATATGACGTGAAATGAAAACACAATAAGCAGGCAGGATGTTTTTCAAACTTACAACAGGAGCACCTCATCTGTCATAACAAACGTTACATTTGTGGTCCTAAAAGTGACGGCATACGAATGTAGAAGACTAGGTCTCAACAAATGAGGAAAAGAGTGTTTAAATTTTAAATATCTTGTGGCTTGAAAAATGTATTAAGGTTAATTTAACCACTCAACTAAAATTAAAAAATTCAAAAGTGTAATTTGTCTGTGCTTACTTTAGGATTAGGATTTTTATATTTGTTTATGATGGATGTATAGGCTTGAAAATTTTGAAATTTGATAAGATAGTAAATTTTTATTGGATATCATATCTTGGTGTGTAATTTTGATTATTACAAATAAAATTTTGGGCTAGATTATTTAGGATTGACCTGATTTTATTTAAGTATGATGGGTTAATTATACACTAAGAATGGTGGTTCGGATTAGTATCGTCACTCCATATTCCTAATCTAATTGGTTATCTATAGATTATTAGACAACAATGATTGATCAAAATCCGACTTACTTTAAGATTGAGACTATTTATTGTTTGTCATCCTCCTCTATCCCAACTTAGTGGATTCATATTTTAAAAAAGAAATCTGGGATGGTACATAATCCTACTCCAGCAACATGAAAAACAACGTTCAAATTTGTTAAAAGAACGCTTAAAAAAACCATGAAAGAAGGTATGTCCCTTTCAATAGCAATTAATCATTCGTCCTCTATATTTTGCGATGGTAAAACCAGTTTTTGAAAACAGAAATAAGTTTATTGCACAATTTGGGCCCTCTCGATAATACAAGTTGGTTGGTTGGGTTTTATTGGGCTTGCCATCTTTTCCTGGGAGTCATTACAATCCTGTCTTGGAAACAGAAGAGTTTGCTACCTAGACTAGAATGTAGAATTACACCGACCCCAAGAAGATGATAGTCAAAACTTCAACCACTCATTCCGGTTAATGCTTTTGAAGAATCTCTCCTGGTTTGGTATTTTTTCATGTAATTTTCTTTTGGTAAAATGTTTCCTTATCAATTCAAGATAATAATAAATAGCACAGTATTTGATGACTTTACGAGAAGGTATTAACTCAGTCAGCTCAACTATGGGCTTTGTATTTTCTGAGCGTGGCTGGATTAGGGCCATTAATTGCGGGCTGATAATACGCTGGCCCATTCTGTCTTATCATTCTTTTCATTTTGACCCAATTACTCCTTTGCAACCACACTAAGATAATAAAAAATAAAAAATATGGTTTTATGAAAGATATTTAATAGGTTAAATACCTCTTTTGGTCCCTTACAATGTTTTTTTATTTTAATTTAGTCCCACTTTAATTTTTGGTCTCAATTTAGTCTCCAATAACTTAAATTAGTGCAATTTGGAACTTCCGTCCAAATGATTTAGACGGAGTTAACTGTTGGTCACGTGGCATCTACGTGGATGCCACGTGGATGCGCACGTGGATACCAAAATTCCATAAAAACCTGAAACCAGAACGGACCGTTCTACTTTTAGAACGGGCCGTTCTGAATTCAGAACGGCCAGTTCCAAAATGCCATGTTTTTTATTGTATTTTTTTATTATATCTATATTAATAACTATATAATAAATACAAAAATACAATAAATTAATATTCATTTATGAATAAAACTAAAAAAAAATCAAATAAGATAAAACCTTCCAAAATATTTTTTTGATTCGAATTTATCCAGTTCAAAATCTTGACTAAAAATGTATTTCAAAAATTGAAAATAAAATTCGGGTTTAGGGGTACCTCCTCAAGAACAGGTTGTTATTGTTGGGGTACATCGTCAATGACTTCAAGGAAAAATACTGTTTCGTTTTATCCTTGATTGTATAATGTCAATTTGGTAGTAAGTGATTCACTCCAATTTGACTAACAATGAAATAAAACTTGTTACCATTGTCCTTAGTGATACACTGCATAATCGTTAATGATATACTGTATAGCCAAAATGTTTAGCAATTGAAGTTATTAATCCTCATTAACAATATTATCAAATCTAGTGTTTGAAATACTTTGTATTTTAGTTTTTTTGCGCACGAAATTCTGGTTCAGAATGACCCGTTCTAAAACCAGAACGGCCCATTCTGGTTACACTATTAGTGTGTTAATTTTGGACCTAGAACGGCCCATTCCTGGTGCAAATTTTACACACCAACCAGAACGGACCATTCTGGTTCCTGGTGTATTCAAGTATTTTTTGATCCACCTATGTGGCATCTACGTGGCATCCACTTGGCAACCACGTGACCACCAATTAACTCCGTTTAAATCATTTAGACGAAAGTCTCAAATTAAAATGATTTAAATTATTGAGGACCAAATTGAGACCTAAAATTAAAGTGGGACTAAATTGAAAAAAAAAATATTGTAAGGGACCAAAAGAGGTATTTAACCTATTTAATAGGAAAATGAAGAATGAAATTGTAATAATGTGCATGATTTTTGTTTATTTGAAATTACATAATTGATGGTAGCATGCAAAAGGAGAGAAGTTTTGACTTTTGAGGCCGTCTAAGCCTTTCTCCGGCCAAGGAATCTGGTGGGACTAAAGGGCTTAAGACCAACAATAGTGGAATGTCCATCAAGAATAAGCTGGGCAAGGGCGGCGCCCGTGGCAGGCCCATTAAGAATACCCCAACAATTATGGCCCGTCGCCACATAACAACCCTTCACCCCTGGAACCTCTCCAATGAGGGGTACCCCATCATCAGTGCAGGGCAAGAAACACGCTTGCTCCGCCTTCACACGTGCCTCTCCTTCCCCAAGATAACTCGACACACTCTTCGCCACCCTCTTAAGCATCGCAATGGACTCACTGTTTCCCCTAATCTCAGCAGGATCTTCGGGCACCTCCTCCTCCTTCGACATCCCGCACACGTACACCTCCCCACTGGGCCGAGGGTACACTTCAGGGTCCAGTGGCGCTCCTCGTTTCGACGAATAGTAGCTCAGAAAAAGAGCATGCGGGGTTATCAAACTGCCCTCTCTAGGCTCCAAAACAATGCTATGGGCCTTAAGCCCATAAACTCTAAACAGCGACGACAACAAAACTAACTTACTGGACCACGGGCCCAACGCCAACACCACCGCGTCCGCCTCCAACACTCGTCCTCCTTCAAGCACCACCGATCCAACTCTTCCTTGCTCCACTTCCAACCGTTCCAATTTCGCAATCACAACCTCCACGCCGTGCCTCTCCACGGCTCTATCAACGAGAGTCCGAGTGAAAAGCTGCGGGTGCACCTGCGCCGTCGTTTCGGGGGTTCCAATGGTTTTAGCGCCCCGAGCTGGTCCATTGACCCAAGAAGGCAAGGTTGAGGCAGCGGAAGAGCCCTCGGATTCGATTACGGTGAGGCTGAGCGTGGTGAGGGGTCTGTAACCGTAGGATCGGGGACCGTCGAGGTCTTGCGCGAGGGAACGGTGGAGATTGAAGCTGGCGCGAGCTAGCTGCTCCAGCGGTCCTCCGTCGCACCAATCCAGCGCCAGGAAGCCGCCGGCCTTTCCCGAAGCGGCGCATGCCACGTCGGACATCTCGACGAGCGTGACGGCGGCGCCCTTCGCCGCCAGGAAGTAAGCGGTGCAGGCTCCGATGACTCCGCCGCCGCAGACGACCACTCGCTTCGGCTGATCCATGGGCTCAATCAACTTGGCTCTCCAGATAGGGATTCTGTTTCGCCCAAATACACTTAGCGGTGCCCGCGGAATCCCCACCACTAGATTCATACTCATCCAATTATTTTTAACAAAAAATATAATAAATGGACACGTGTCTGTTACTGTGGTTGTTCATGTTTCTTGTTTTAACACGAGAATTCTAATGTTTGATGAAGAGCCTTGTTTTGGGCCGTCCTGATAAAAAAAGTTCATGTCAATTAGCCCGTTCAGCCTTACTGGGCTTGATGTCGTCCAAATAATATGAATTAATTGGACCTAAACAACAAAAGATGCCGAGTGTGACACCCTTACTACCCCAACACATATACCGTAATTTTACAAATAAATGTTTTAAAAAAAAGGTGAAAGGATTCACATGAGAAACTTCAAAAATCGTGCTTCAATAACCACAATAATAAAGAAATAAAACGTAAGAGTTTACAAATTGTTTTCAAAAATAACATTTACAATTCCAAATCCATATAAAAAACATATGTTCTAAAAATCCTCTGACCTGATGTCACAATATCAGAGCATCCCCACAATTCAACCGTTGGCATTCTAGATGCCACTCGTAGCCAGATCTTCCTCACCTAAAAAATCCACAATTTGCACGGTGAGAAAAGAAAACATTTATATATACAGCACACGAGGAAATCCACAACATCATCTCATCATAACATGAAATATTAATTACCAGCATTTCTATAGATATATCATCATTCTATCAATCATTCATCATCTTCACATCACAATTCATAATCAAACTCATTCATCTCAAATCTTGCAATTAAAATGATCATTTTCACATTCATAATTCACACAATCTTACAATTAACACTATGTCAAGGCCACGCCACAACTGACATAAGTGATACAGGTTAATTGTCTCGCTCATCCCACACCATGCTAGGGTCACGCCCTCCCTGTAGCATCACTTACCCAGGGGCCGTGCCATCCCTAGTCATTGATGTGAGGAACCACAATCACATCACAATCCACACAATCTCTTGCAATTAACCCTATGCCAGGGCTGCCATATTTGACACAAGTGATACGTGTTAACTGTCTTACTCATCCCACACCATGCTAGGGTCACGCCCTCCCTGTAGCATCACTTACCCAGGGGTCGTGCCATCCCTAGTCATTAGTGTGAGGAACCTTAATCATAATCAAATCCACATTCATCACATCTCATCTTATAGCTCAATAACATATCACATACACACAACGGATAAGTCCAACAAAAAAAGGGTTTCATACACCTCGAGCAATTCACATATAAATCATCAATTTTTATCAAGTGATATAACAATAACATTCATAAATTAATAAAATAATCAATAGAATTATCAATTTAATATAATTTTAACATAAACAGTAAAACCCCCAATTATTCCAAAACTTAACTCACATGCACTTTTCTACAGTTTCGTTTTACCTCTCAGATTAACATTCTTACAAATTAAATATATATTTCTAATCCTCAACACATGCAGAATCTAATGGAATCATCAATTTCTCAAACAGAAATATTCTAATTTTTCCAAAACCTAGCCTACAGGCACTTTTCTATAATTTCGTTCTCTCTCCCAGAGCATCATTTTTACAAATAAATCATATATTCATAGTCCTAAATATACACAGAATCACATGAGACCAATAATTCTCCAAACAGAAATAATTATAAAATTTCTCATAATCCTAAGGGTTCTTCCTCTACCCAATTTCCTCATGTAACTCTACATATAAATAATTCCCTTTTCCCCCGTACCTGAATATGTAGAAGCTGAATTTATACGAGATCTGGTTGGTCTCCCTCGCTGGGTTCCCCTCGGTCTAAAGCAGAAAGGAGATAGAAAAGAAGAGAGAGCAGAAGAAAAGAAATTAGAAAATGAGAGGTGTGCTTTTTCAGAGTGGCAGACAGCTCAATTTATAGGCCTCAGACTTCGCCAGAATGGCTCGTTCCAATTTCAGAACGGCCCGTTCTGGACCCCAAAATCGTGGGCAAAAGTCACACCCAGAACGACCCGTTCTGGTGTGCATTTATTACTCAACTGCCATAGCCTGTTCCAGGCCCGTTCCTACTTAAAGTTTAAGGCATCTTTTAATAGTCCGGAATGGCCCGTTCCAACTTGAGAACAGCCCGTTCTGGGCTATTAACTCACATACAATTTGGTAGTTTGTAACGGTCCGTTTCAATTCCGGAACAGCCCGTTCCAAGCTACTAAATCACATACATTTTGGTAGTTTGGAACGGCCTGTTCCACTTCCGGAACAGCCCGTTCCAAGCTACTAAATCACCCCTATACCTTTATAAAATTACCAAAATACCCTCAATTAAAATAAATAAAAAGTGAAATAAAAATTGGGGTGTTACACCGAGTACAAGACCTTGCTTGATTAAAAAATATATTTTGATTCAGGGAGACAATATTTCTTTTAGCCTTTATGGTTAAAAGGATTAGTCTCTTATTAGTAATGTGAAAAAACCTTGATATGAAAAGCAAAATACTAAAATACTTTCGCACGGTTGGAGACATGTCAAAGGCCTCCTACCTTAGCCAACGTCCTATGCATATTATAGAGATTGACCTATATATTCAACTTCAAAATCATAACAATTGTACTAATCACACTACCACATCAACACGTATATTATGTATTTGGACCGAGTGTCACTAAAATTGATTTTGAAATTTTACAAAATTAATTTTGAATAAACTAATTTTGCAAAATTTAAAATCTTGCTTACAATTTAAACTAGACTAGATACAAAGCCATGGGACAACTCATACTTGTACTATCCGTACTGCGAAACTGAGCTCCGAGCTCGGCATCACAGCGCAAGATGACCTCGGGCACGCGCTACGCGACGTCAGCTCAGCATTTAAGTAGATCATAAATGATCTCAGGGAATCTCGCTCAAGACGAGATCCATTATCTAATCTTATCATATCTCATCTCAGGCCTAGAGCCCAAAGCAACCCTAACTCACACTAAGGTACGTGCATTACTTATCCGAGACTCATACTCATACAAACCCTAACTTTAGCATCAGAGTCTCTTTTGCAGTTACCACCCCCATCTTGGAGCATCAAGCGTACCAGCGAAGGAGGCTCACCAATCTTACTCGGAGGATCATCTCTACAGCAGATTTCCAGTAAGAACATTTGGCGCCCACCGTGGGGCCGATCAAGACAGCTCTTATTGGCCACGCTTATGATATTCACCAGAAGCCATAACAGACGTGCAACAGACGACGCTAGGGATGGCAAATAAACCCGTACCCGTGGGTAATACCCGAACCCGTCCCGACTTTGACGGGGAATACCCGCTTTGACCGGGTACGGGTACGGGTACGGGTAAAACCCGATAAAAAAATTGGGTACGGGTACGGGGTCGGGTATATACTTACCCGCCCCGTCCCCGTCCCCGTCCCCATCCCCATCCCCGTCCCCGGTTAAATACCTGTCCCCGGTTTTATTTTTTTAAAAAAATTAACATTTTAAATAGTTGTAAAATGTAAAGGCCACGAGGCTGCAAACACTTAGGTTAGGGTTTCAATTTTCTGATTCACAATCCAGTGTCCAACAAGCAGTTTTGACAGCGGAGACGCTGCCGCCGTTGCCGCCACAAGCGAGGTACTCTTCCTCAACCACGCCAAACGCCAGTCCACGGTAAATCCCCAACCCTCTCTCGTTCATGGTAAATCTCCAACCTATGATTCTCCGAGCGCGTTATGGGATAATATGGTTTCTTCGCTGCAGGGTGGAAGTATGGTGGAGTGGTTTGGGTTCGTTGCAGCTTGCAGGGTGGATCGACGGTTTCTTCGCGACTGGTTTCACAAAGAATAAGCCAGGTTGGATGCTGTTCCTTGATTTTTTACAATTTAGGTAGTTTTCCTGTGTTTGAAGAGCCAAATGGGCAAATCGGGAATCAAGGGATTCGTATTGTTGTTCTTTCTGTGGTTGTTATTCGCAGTTCCTGTTTTGATAGTGTTATAGTTGCAGCACCAAACGTCGTTTTAAGGTATTTTTGTGTAATATTGTTTAATTTCATGTTTTTTGAAAGAGGTTTTTTGGGATATAATAGCTTAGGTGTCATATGTTTTCCGATTTGTGTTTGTAATGTATGAAGTGATTGCTATGGTGTTTTCTTTTAGGATGAAACTTAGATGCAGTTATATAGGTACTGTCGGTGCTGGTGTTGATCTCTGATCAGAATTAGTTTTTTTTTATCTAGGTAATATAATTAAATATTTAATGCAGAGCATGGTAATATACATTTACGCAAAGTTTGTATAATCAAGGGTGGAACGACAATGCCATAATGGTATGGTCTTCCATGCAAAAGAAGTCATCTATGATAAACTCTCAAATTGAGACAAAGTAAAGTATTTTTAGTAGGGCCACTAACAAAAATCAAATTGATGATATAAAGATAAGTTAAAAAAAAATTAATTTAATTTTTTTAAAAATTTAATTTTCTTTTTTAAAAAAAATATTTTTTTACGGGTACGGGTACGGGTACGGGTATACCCGATACCCGACGGGGACGGAGATGGGACATAATTTACATACCCGACGGGTATGGGGACCGGGACGGGTATAGGTTTCAGTCGCAGGGACGGGGACGGGTATCATGAAACCCGTACCCGCCCCGCCCCGTTGCCATCCCTAGACGACGCAGATCATACAACTACCATGGATAACGAAGCCACATTTAGGAGACTGATCGACCAGGTAGAACAGATGCGGCAACAACACGACGTCGATCTGCGAAACATGCGTGTCCAGCACGAAACCGACCTAGCGGCGATGAGGACCGCCAATGAAGCTGACCTAGCGGCACTACGTGTCGAAAATGAGCGAATTCGCGCTCAGCTCCCTCGACGCGCCTCTGATCATCTACACGAGGAAGAAGGCAATTCGGTTTCTCAACTTCCAGTCGCGACTAGGGTTCCAACCCCCAGACCTGCTTCACATCGGTCTCATGTGCCGACGCACAGGTCGGCGCAAGATGTCAGCAACATCCCTGCCCACGGCACGGGACATCAGGCAACCTTTCGCC